ATTCAGTAACAGCCTGACTGCCTCTCTGGACTCGAAGGTCACCAGGCCTCCACAGAGAGATGCACGATATTGCCTACTGAGAGTGGAGACAGGAACACGCCTTCTTTCCACCAAATATGACTGTCTCTGGATCTCCAAGAGATTGCTGAGGGAGAAGGGAAGAATCCCAAACCTTGCCTTGCTATTGCTAAGTCAATTTCTTCTTCTGAGGGCAGAAATATAGCCACAAGTTCCAGGAAGAGGTGCAGGGGAGAACAGCTGAGAAGGCCTAAAGAGTCCTCCAAATAACTAATGGTCCCTTGCAAACAAAAAAAGTTAAGTCAATGTTATCTAAAGCTTCTTATGCTACATTTTAAATTGTTTTTGAAAAGTCTAAAGAATTTGTATCTCCTTTATCTTTGCTTTTTTCTATTTCTTTTCTTTCTTTTTTTTTTTTTTTTTTTGAAATAGGGTCTTACCTTATCACTTGAACTGGAGTGCAGTGGAGTCATCATAGTCTACTGCAAACTCAAACTCTTGAACTCAAGAGATCCTCCTGTCTCAGCCTCCCAAGTAGGTGGGATTATAGCCATGTGCCACCACACTTGGCTAATTTTTTTATTTTTTTAGAGATGGGCGTCTCACTCTTGCTCAGACTGGTCTTGAACTCCTGGCCTCAAGCAATACTCCTGCTTGGACCTCCCAAATGCTAGGATTACAGGCATGAGCCACTATGCCCCACCTGGTTTCTCTTTTAGTACACTGTAGTCATCAATAAACATTTTGGTGTATTTCGGGGATTTTAAAATTAAAAGATTGGAAACCTGTTTTCCTGGGCATCTGAAAAAAAAATTTTTTTTTCTGCCTTCTTTTAGTAAGTTTTTATAAGGGTTTTCCAATTATCCTGTCTTACTTTGTGCATATTTTTAAAGCAGTCCTGAATTCTTTTCTGGAGGCAGGAAGACTATAAATATAAAATTATAAACTTTTTAAAGGTAGGCCCTTTAATATTTTGAAGTAAAAATTAAATTAAAAAGATAAAACTGCCCATTAAAAAAGGCTATTTTTTAGAAAAGTAAGAATCAAGTCAATAAAGGTAAAAAAAAAAAAAATCCATGCCTCAGTTCTCCCTGAATGCCTATCGGGCACCTACTGTGAGCCTGCTGCTATTCAGGTAGTGAAGCTGCAAAGACGATTCCACGTTTCTCACCCACAAGGAGCTCAGGGTCTGGAGGAGGAGGGCAGCACAAAACACACATGTGGAGAGGGTTAAACTGGAAGTGTGTGAAGGGTGGAGTGGGAAAGAGGTGCAGGGGGGCACCTACATAACTCCAGGGGTGGGGAGTGTAAGTCCTGAAAAGAGGGATGAGGAAAGAAAACCAGAAACAGGCAGGTAAGGAGAAGGGAGGGCTGCTCAACCTTGACGTCTGCTAAAGTCCTGAGGACCAAAGTCAAGTTCATATATGAATAATGCTCTTTCTTTGTCAAGAAAATACCTCTTCATCCTTTTTTTAAAAGAAGGGATATGAGTATTTCCAAAATTGGAATCATAAGCCATTTGCTTTCTTACGTATATTATGGAAGGCCAAGCAGTACGGAAGCTGTTTCTTTTACTGAATTCTAGTGGAGGAAACTTTTAACTTTCCCTTCTGGCAAATGGACACAGCTGCGTGGAGAAGGCATCTCCTTTCACAGCCACGAGACTTTTAATGCTCTGTAGCATTCTCAGTGCTGGGTACAGGAGGCAGTGGCAGGTGTAATAACTTACATGATTTTTGAGTAGTGATGAGAATAATTGGTATTCAGAGAAAATTGTAATGTGATACAACAGCATCTGTGACTACCTTTTGTGACAAAGTCCTATGTACTGCTGCTACTACTACTCAAGTCAATTGTCTGTTCACAACTGAAGAGAGTGCTAAATTTTGCTTAGAACCATTTCTCATCTTAGTTCATAGACCCCTTCTTCTGACTTAGCAGTAACCCAGGCTAAGAATCGCTGATTTAAGTGGCACCCTCTCTCTGACATCTGCCTTACAGACCAGATGAGGTTAAACTGGTCCCTACTTGGAGGCTCAATGTTCTCCACTGTGGCTGAGGGGAAAGTGGGGAGCATGTGCTGGGACCCCACTCCTTACTCACATGTAAGCCTTGTAGTTGTTGCCAATCTTCTGAACCCGGATGTCATACTTGGCATCTATGAAAGGCTCTGCTGTGGCATAAGTCTGGGTGAGGGCCACCACGCTAGCAATGTCCTGGAAGTCGTAGTGGTTTTCCACTTTGACCTATTATTGGAGCAAGGTAGAGAGGGAGACGCAAGATATACACACACACACTCACAGAGAGAAGTCACAAAGGCTCTGAGCCTCCAAGTCCATCGAGATGTTTCTAATCCAGATGCACACCCGGGTGCCACATCTCCCCAGAAGGCCCTGTCTCCCTAGGTTTCCCTTTCAGGGCTCAGGGATACACTTGTTGCAAATGACCCAAAGCACCGAGCAGGTGGCCTGCACTCTGCTCATTGAAAGAGATCTGGTTAGTAATACTCATGGCTTTGGAGGGGCCAAATCATTGTCTCCTCAGAAAGAACTTATCAGTGCAGTCCACAAACGGGCTATCTGAAGTATGCCCTTCTTGGCTCAACCCCACAGCAAGGCCTGCCTGCTGCCTTACCTTGCCCATGCCGGAGTGAGCATGGCCAATCTTCACCACCACAGGGAATGTGGGCAGTGTCAGCTGGAAGCAGAGGAGAAAGGAAGGAATTGGTCAGAATGTGTCTGTCTCTCTGTGGGAACCTACACCGATTTTTCTTGGGAACACCCTTGGGAAAGTCCTTAGAAGAACTAGTCTAACCGATGAGCTTTACAAATTAAAAAAAAACTGAGGCCCTAGAAGGGACAGTGGCTTTTCCAAGGTTACTGGCAGAGCCACAAGAACCCTTTTCTCCTATTAGATGCATCTTTAAACTTCTTTGCTTCCACCGTCTCTGCATTAACCCTGGGCATGACTGGTCCTCAGCCAAAGGAAATAAAAAAAAGTATCTCTGAAAAGATGAATTTTACTGTATGTAAATTGTATCTTAACCAACCCAATTTTTTTTGCAAATGTATCTTTGGAACCTTAATATCCCCTTTGTCATGTACCTCTTAGTACCCCACCCCGTTCAAAGGCCCAGCTGTCCTCTGACAATTCTGGCTGTCTAGTCCCTCCTTCTCATTCTTTCCTCTTCACAAACATCCAAATTTGCCACCACACGAGGTTTTGTATGCTAAGGTCTAGTTCTGCCCAGTTTAGGGTTTGAAAGAGAGCTGATAACGTGGTATAAGAATTCAATATGGGGTGGTGCCTGTGACTCAAAGGAGGAGGGAGCCGGCCCCATATGCTGGAGATGGTGGGTTCAGACCCAGCCCCCGGCCAAAAATTGCAAAAAAAAAAAAAAAAGAATTCAATATGTTCATCCCCCGAAAAGAGATTCTTTAAGAGAGGTAGCCATATTTTAACCGAAGAGCAATAAAAAACTTACAAGAGAATTACCAGCCAAGGGCAGGATTTCAAGCTGTTAAAAATGGTGAAGGAAGAAGTAATATTGTGGATGGGATGGGGGTGGGGACTCCCCTTCTACTTGACTCTACCACTAACTTTCTGCAAGTGACTCTACCTCACTGAGCCTCAGCCTTCCCATCTGTCAGATGAAGAGACGGAACGGCCTGGATGCTTTACAAGATCTCTTCAAACAATACATCAGACTCTACCTTGGTCTGGACATTGTATGAAAAACCAACCAACCCAGATGCCAACCCGGACATCTCCTCGCTCCCAGTCAGACTCGCCTCTTTCAATTTCCTTCTTTTCAAACATTCACCAGCATCACCAAAACGAAAAGGTGGACATTGAAAAAAGTAATGTTGACCCTAATAATGCAAACTCAGACTCCCATGGGAGCCTGGGAGTGGCCAGATACCGGCAGGACCATCTGGCCTGGGGATTTCAGCATTTCTGGCTAAGGCCCATCAGGGGTGGGGGGAAGAGCTTCAAAGGGCTTTAGAAATAGAGCAGTTTAACCCTGTTTTATGGAGAAGAATCAGAGGCCAGGAGAAGTAACAGTCACAAAGCTACTGACAGTCAGAATCAGAATCCAGTCTCCTGCTTTCCAGTTCTGCAGGGTGTGAGAACATCCCCCAGCAATAATGGGGACCCGGGTCTGGGAGCCCTGAACACTGGGCTCTGTGGAGCAGTGGGCTGTGTTTGGTGACAGCAGACCAGGCAAGTGCCCTGCTACTTCTATAACGGGACACAGTCTCGGGGGCTCACGGTAAGAACCAGTGCAGCCCAGGGCCTGCAGAGGGGTTTGGGGTCCAAGGTTTGCCTGAAGAAATGGGACGCCCTGAGTTCCCGCGGAGAGCACTGCTCCCAACTGCCTGCAGAACCCTCAGCGCTGGGCACGGGAAAGGGTTTCTACAGCACTGGCTCTTCTCTGACACCCCTCCCCACCCCCCAGCCAACAGAGCCAAGACCCCCTCCCCCAACTTTCTCTGTCCTCTCCTATTACTGTTTGCTGTTGCTTTGGAACCTCATAAATAGGGCATTGAAAACACTTCCTGCAGCTGAAAGCGGCCCTGAGTAGCTGTCTCATTCCTAGTGTGCCGCTCAGCGAGGGGTCCGCCCTTCTCGGTCACTGTCTCTGTCGCCTGTTGTAATTCTGTCTGCCTCTCTGCGACTCTGCCCTGCTCGCTCCCCTCACGCTTTTTCTGCCGCCCCGATCTCAGTCCATCAGTCTTCCTGCCCTTATGCACTTGTCTTCGACGCTCTGTCTGTCTGCGCCGACACCACCCTTCTTCCCAGAGCCTCCCCTCTGCTTCCCCGCTGCAGCGTGAAGGGCCGAGGCCTCAGTCCTGGCTTCCCCCTCATCTGCCCAGTCCGGCAGTCTGAAGGGCCCCGGGTCCTGCAGCCGCGGGTGGCCTAGAGCCAGAGGAGGGCGGAGCCCACTGGGGCGGGATTGGCCCTAGGGCCACCTCATAAAGCCTGGGGCGAGGGGCGCGACGCGTTCCGAAGGAGGCCTGGAGGGGCTGTTTGGTCCGACAGACCCCACAGGCCCTGCCCGGGCTCTGCGGTGTCATGCCCGGGAGCCCCCGGCCCGCGCCGAGCTGGGCGCTGTTGCTGCGGCTGCTGGCGCTGCTGCGGCCCCCGGGGCTGGGCGAGGCGTGCAGCTGCGCCCCCGCGCACCCCCAGCAGCACGTCTGCCGCTCGGCGCTTGGTGAGTCCAGGTCTGCGAGGCCCGCAGTAGGGGGTGGTTGCGGGGGGCCTTGGAATCCGGCCGAGCTGCAGACCAGGAGTCCCGAGGGAAAGGGAGGAGCTCAGATCGATCCCGCACCCGTTACCCCCTGCGGCTGCTGCTGATGGAAGGGCCGCACCATAGCAACCTGGCAAGCGGAACGGACTGGTTTGTAAGGAACTAGAGATTGTATCCGGGACTTTGACGGCGGCTTCCCTCACGCCTGTCCATACCCCAGCTGCGGAGTGTCATTGAACAAGGTGTCACCCCGAGCTTCTGGAGATTGTCCTCAACTCCTGGACTGGGGGTGGGAAGAGGCGGAGAGGACTCGCGTTGCAACCATCTTGTCTGTCCACGCTTGTAACTGACAGTGCCGCCAGGCCCCCGCTCCCCCATACCTTCAGCCATTTCTCTTCTCTCTGCTTGCGACGCCCCTCACCCCTCCAAATACCCTTCAGTTCCTGGCGGACTCCCATTCCTCCCTCAAGGTCTAGTCAGGTCTCTCCTCTTCTCTGAATGCATCGCTGACATCGTCCGAGTGCTATTGTTTCTCACAAGTGTGCCCTGCACTAGACCAAGAGTTCTGCGGGATGGGGGCCCTGTCTTGATCACATCCATGCGCCTAGGGCCTAGTGCAAGGCCAGGCACAGAGGAAGGACTTCATAAACAGTTTTTGATTAATGTCCAAATGGCAGAAGATGGACTGCCTCGGCGCAGAGGCAGAACATTTAAGAACTCAGTAAACATCTACTAACATTCACTCTTGGGAGAGCTCTGGGGCCTTGAGTTCCAACACCAGCTGTCCTCAGGGGGCTCCTCCTCCCCCTACGCTGCACCCCATGCACCCAGGGCTATGGAGAATTAGAGCTCTCCAAACCTAAAGGCTCAAAGGGCAGAAAGAACATAGAGGCTGTGGGCCCTAAGAAACCTGAGGGGTTTGGAACTTACAGCCACTGGGTGCGCTGTTCTCACACTCCAGCACCTGAACCCAGAACTCCCCTACAAAACTGGCCCCAGATGACTCAGATCTCAGATGCATTGCTCCCACCAGCTCCTGAAGTTTCCTTCTTTTCTCTTCTTATGCAGTGATTCGGGCCAAAATCTCCAGTGAAAAGGTAGTTCCTGCCAACACAGACCCTGCTGACACTCAAAAACTGCTTCAGTATGAGATCAAACAGATTAAGGTATGGAGGGGGCAGGACAGGGCCTTTACTCCAGTAAAGTGGACTGGTGGAGGGATTGGGGTCTGTGCTCTGGGAGGGGAGGGACTGACCGATTTTGGGCTTTGTGATCCTTGGGTCTATATGCTGAAGTGGCCCTGGATGAGATTTGGGGGCAGGGCCTGCAGAATCCAAAAATCCAAAGGACAGTGTAGGGCAGGGCCTCAGAGTCCATTAGGTCCCACAGCTGCCTGTGCATGGGGCCCCTGGGGGTATCTTCCCTCTCACTGGGATAAACTAAGGTTCAGAATATTTCTTTACAGAGAGAAATAACCTAGTAGGACCTTCTGTGTGCACCAAATCCTGAACTAGACTTTGGCTTAACCAAAGTCTAAAATAGACCGAGATGTGAGTTCTGCTGGTTAATACAGAAAGTACACTCAGTGACCCAATACTGCTTTTTTTTTTTTTTTTTTTTTTTGGTAATTGATTTTCAGATGTTCAAAGGGTTTGAGAAGGTCAAAGATGTTCAGTATATCTATACACCTTTTGACTCTTCCCTCTGTGGTGTGAGACTGGAAGCCAACAGCCAGAAGCAATACCTCTTGACTGGTAAGTTAAAGACCAGTAACTTGGAGAGGTAGTGAGAAAGGAGCCTTCCACTGGCGGCAGACTGAACCGGGGGGCCTCCACCACAGAACTGTGTGAGCCGAGGAGCCTTGGCAACCTCCGTTTCAACACAGGAGTCCTCACTGTGATCATCTCAACCACCCTCACTTGACCACTCTCTACAATCTGAGAGGACAGGCTGCTCCCCCAGTCAAGGGCATCTGGTTCCATTTTCTTTTCTTTTTTATTTCAGATTAATTTGAGGGTACAAAGAATTAGGTTACAATGTTTGCATTTGTTAGGTAGAGTCCCTTTTGTAGCTGTGTCCCGCCTCTAGGAGGTGTGCCATATGCTCCTCCATTGTGCCCATTACATGGGAGCTCACTGAACTGGTTCCATTTTCAAACAGCTTAAGATGCTGTTAGACCTCTGGCCTCTTGAGCCAATATCTGCCCCTCTACAACTGCTGCTCTGTGAGTTCAGTTCTGCCCTTTGCAAAGGCCTTGAGTCTAACACAGCTTTGTCTCTATGAACTTGGGCCCAGGCAGGTGTTCTCCAGACTGAATTGGTTGAGGTAGAACAGCTAAAGAACCACACAAGAATACAACTCCATAAATGAATGTAGCACTAAATTATTTTGGAGTTCAGGGAAAGGAGGTTGGTTATAAATAATCAGGGAAGCTTCATTGTATAAGAGGACTCTAAACTGGCTCTAAAAGATGAAAAATATTTAGAAAGAAAGCAAGAAAAAGAAAAATCTGGCTTGGCGCCTGTGGCTCAAGCGGCTAAGGCGCCAGCCACATACACCTAAGGTGGCGGGTTCGAATCCCCAGCCCGGGCCCGCCAAACAACAATGATGGCTGCATCCAAAAAATGGCCAGGCGTTGTGGCGGGCGCCTGTGGTCCCAGCTACTTGGGAGGCTGAGGCAGGAGACTCGCTTGAGCCCAGGAGTTGGAGGTTGCTGTGATCTGTGGTGCCATGGCACTCTACCCAGGGGGATAGCTTGAGGTTCCGTCTCAAAAAAAAAGAAAAAGAAAAATCTCAGCTGATGGGGAGAACAAGTGAAGGGATTCCACTCTCTGTCCATCCATTTAGCAATGAATGGCTGCCTACTCACTGCCCAGCTTGGGGCAGGAGACTAGAGATTCAGTAACAAGCCACGGTCTTCAAAGAGTTCACAGTCCAGATAAGGCAACTAACAAGTCACAGGCACTGGAAGCCACAATGACAGGGGCTTCCCAGTTCTAAGGAGATGTAACTATGCTGAGCTGGGGAGCTCTGGGATGGGAGAGGCAGAGGCAGAGGATGCCACTGAGCTCTCCCGTTCTTGGGACAAGCAGACCAGGCCTTGCTGTTATCCTGCCTCCTTCCTAAACACCTGCTCTCTGTGGGCCTGGCCCTCTGCTAGGCACTGAGGTTGGTGCATCAAGGGAAGTAGGAGATGTGCTCTCTGCCTTAGGGAGGTCAAGTCTAACCAAGAGTGGGGCTGAGTGACAACGCACAAGTCCACTGAAAAGTCATCACTGGGGCCCAGGCCCTTCAGGGCAAGGCACAAGCTCTTCTGCTTGATGCTGAAAGCCCCTTGTGACCAGAACATTGCCTTCCTCTCTAGCTCAGCTCTATCTTCTGCCATTTGTCAGTGACTGTTCCCAGCTGCTCACTGCCCCCAGAGCTGAACTACATACACTACCTGCAGTTGCAGGAGTTGTGTCGCTGGGCTGTGCCCTTGCACAGAGCGGTTCCAATGGCCAGAGGCTCTACTCCACCCTGTTTGGCAGGGGATTCTCTACCCATCCCTGCGAGGCCCGTGCTAGCATCTTTCCTCTGAGATACCTTCCTTGCCCCACATCCTTCCCATAGAGACGACTGTGCGTCCCTTTGTTGTCATGCTGCACGGTGTATCTGATCATACAACCGTGTAATTTTTGCCTACGTCCGTCTACTAATTTTTAATCTCTTGAGGGCAGAGATCCTATGGTATTTATTTGTGTATTCCTGGTATTAAATCCTAATAGCTACTCAGTATGACTGAGTGACCAGCGTTCTAAACAAAGTGTGGGCCAGTGTGGTCAGGGATGGCTTTGAAGATTAGGTGGTACTGAAAAGGGTCTTTGAAAGGTGAAAAGGATTTTCATAAGTGAAGATGGGCAGCTTTCTTAAGGGGAAGAGGAAAGACTCACCAAGATAAGTATCCATAAGGCAGAAGACGGGCTTGTGTGGATATTGGGAAGGACTGGAAAGGGGAAGGAGGGTCCTATTATTTATGGGACATCTGTGAGTCCATAGCTGTGTTGGAATCTTTATAGATATTCTTTCATTTAATCCTGACAACAACCTTATTATTCTCATCTTCCAGCCGAGAATGTGACTTTCCTAAGATCATGTAGCTATTGAGAAGAAGGTCCCACCCAGCGTTTGACCTTGAAGCCATGTTCTCTCTGTGCTAAAGGAAATAGCCTTCACCAGATCCCACAACACTACCTTTGTACAAACATAATCTGTTAATCTCTTTGCTGTAAAGATTATAAGGGCTTTCTGGTTTCTTCACTGAGCTCCACGTCACCATTGGAGCAACTGCAGTTCTGCATCCAGGGCTCTGGGGCTCTAGAAACAGACTCCTGATGCTAGACTCTCCCCCCTCTGCCCCCAAAGGTCAGATCCACAGTGATGGAAAAGTCTTCATCCATCTATGCAACTACATTGAGCCCTGGGAGGACTTGTCGTTGTTGCAGAGAGAGAGTCTGAATCATCACTACCATCTGAACTGTGGCTGCCACGTAAGGGAATGTCCATTTCCAGGGGTTTGGGGGCTGTGAGGGGAGGGTCAGGAGCCTTTCAGCCTTGCTCTGTGAACTCCTTCATTCATGAATGCATTTGCATTTGTTCACTTACTATACGGCACTTTATTTACTGTATGAAGTTAGGGATGGGAAAGCACTCTGTCCACAGGCCCTGATCTCAAAGTACTTACATTTTGACGGGGAGGGTGGCTGTCATCTAAGGCAGACTGAGATGACAGTAATATAGCCACCACGAAGGTAATACAACTACCTTTTTAAGACCCTGTAAAAGTCAGTTTATCTTGAATGTTTAATTTAGTCTGCATAACAGGTTCATGAAGAATTGGGATTTTAAGGTGAAGAAATCAAAGCTCTAAGAAGGGCAGTGACTTGCTCAAAGTCAGTGGTAGAGGAAGGACCCTCAGGGTTGTCTGACTCCAGAGAGGCCATTGGAGAGGCCATACTGCATGTGAGGGGGCAGGGGAGGGGAGTTTAGGGGAAGGCTGGGAGCTGGGAACGGTTTCATAGACAGAGGGCATTTGAGATGGGCTGTTAGGATTAGCAGGAGTCTAAAGACAGCAATGGAAAAAGGACTCACTTTGATGTTGTGTGGCCATGACTCTAGATCACCACCTGCTATACAGTGCCCTGTACCAACTCAGCCCCCAACGAGTGCCTTTGGACAGACTGGCTGTTGGAACAAAAGCTCTATGGGTACCAGGCCCAGAATTATGTCTGCATGAAGCACGCTGATGGTACCTGCAGTTGGTACCGGGGCCACCTGCCCCTCAGGAAGGAGTCTGTTGATATCATCCAACCCTAGTAGGGACCAGTGACCACCACATCCCTTCAAGAGTCTTGAAGATCAAGCCAGTTCTCCTTCCCTGCAGAGCACTGGCCATCACCACCTGCTCCGGCCATGACCACCTGCCCCACTGCTGCTGGTGGATGGGAAATACCAAGTGGACAGTCTGGCTGGTGGCAAAGCAGGGATGGGGCACGTTACAGCTTGTGTTCAAGATCCCAACCCAGAGCCTGACAAGGGCTAGGGAAGGTAACATGACCTTTCTATCCTGCCTCCAACCCATCTCCTTTACTTCCTAAACCCCATTAGTCTAGCCTTGTACCTGTTACTAGAAGTGTTTATTCTGCCTTAGTTTGTTTTCCAAAGCCAGGACTATTCCCTTTTATTCCCAGGAAAATGTGTTTTCCCTTTGCCTTAACTGATCTTATAGGGGAGAAATGGTGAATGTTATGCATAAGAGATGGTATATCTTCATGCATGTGAGAAGATATAAACATCAAAAGATGGGTTGACAGCGTCATAAACAGGGTGATTGGCAGGAATGAAAAGATAACATACTATGGCTCTATTCCTCCTGTCTCATCCCCTCCTAATCCTCTGATACACTTTCGTCTGTTGACTTCCCTCCCATGCTGTAATCCTACACCACAGCTGGCGGAGGGTCAGGCCCACTTAGCACACCTCTAGGGAAAGAGGTGTTTAAGAATAGGTACTCTCTCCCCAGCTTAACTGTCCCCAATGCCCTCAACTGATGTCCATAAGGCTTCTCTTCTGCCTACATTAGATTACTAATGTCTTAATTCCTACCTTAGAACTTATTTTTTAAGCCAAGCCCTCCCCCTTCTCTTGTAGAGCTGAAATCTCTCTTCATCAGCTTTTGACAGCTCAGAGAGGCATCTTGAGTATGAATTTCAGGGTAGAAGACAGAAGAGAAATAACGCAAGGGCCCTTGGAAGAAAAGGATGATAGAAGGGGGATATACTTTGCAATTACTGCCATTTTTTAAGTGGTCAGCCCTGCTAGATGTTACAGCAGGAAAAAGCCAGTGCTGATCATCAGAGAGCTCTTGCACCCTTCAGCTCAGCCCCCTCACCACTGTGTCTCGGGCTACCTGAGCTCTCCCACCATAGGCCCCTGAGGCTTTCTTGGCTTCTGCCAGGATTCCTAGCTTTTCCTGAAAGGGAAAGTCCTGATATTGGCCTCTAGGACTTATTAAGGAGAAGGGTTTAATTCTCCAGAGCCTCTCTCTGGGCAAGCTCTGGCAAAGATGACAGAGACAGTTCTTTCCAAGGTCCATGGTTGTTTTCCTACACGTGGTCTGCTGGTGAGTAGGGCCATGTACCAGCTGTTATTAAGAAGTCTCTTGATTCCCAGAAATGGTGCAAATGGAGATCTCTTTTGGCAAAGAGAATGGAAGGGGAACAAACATGATTTCCATCCCATGTGGAATACTTTGGCAGTAAGTCTACATTGGTAGGTTAAGCAGGATCACCAGCGCTCACGCCAGCCTGGGGTGGAGAGTTTGGGGGTGGAGGAAGAAGGGAATTTGGGCTCTAGGTTGCCATGGAGGAGAAACGTTAGCAACAGCCTTCTTACCACCCAACCACTTCATCCCTCTGCTCCACCGGACATCCTATGATGGCCTCAGAGAAGGCATAGTGTTAGAACCAGCTCATAACAATCTTGAGGAAGCCAAGGGATCAGAAGAGTCTGGTGAATAACAATGGGAGCACATCTTACGTCTGAGGGTGCTTCCCTTCACATCATTTCAGAAGGCTGTTACTTAGACAGTCGCACTTAAATGTACGTACCATATAGGAATCCTGGTCAGGGATAATTATGCCCACTTGACTGTCCCGTTGGAAAGCGCACATAGTGAGACATGTCGTTTGTCAAGGGACACATGACAGAGTGGGGGCTGGAACCCAAAGCAGTGGGACCTTCTGATTGTTGGTTTGTGTGGGAGGCTCGTCACTCACTCAGCTTGATGAAATGGCCCTTGTTCCTGCTCTTCTCTATTCTGACTGCAGTTTGACAAGAGATCCTCAGCTAAATCCAGCTGTTCCAGCCCCACAAAGCTGCTCCACAGACCCCAGTGGAGTCTTTGGAGTTGAGGTGCTGAGGCCCACAGTCGCCACATGGCTAACCTTGCCATGAAAATAGCAGAGAGACTGGCATCCCCACTCAGCTACCTACCATCTCTTTGTGGTTGGGGTAGTACGTCTGCTCAATGAGTGGGAACTTCTCTCCTCCCAGGGTCTTGTAGATGGCCACCAGCTGGGCAAACTGCAGAAGAAAAGCAAATGTTTCAGCTTATCTAAGACCACATCTGAAACAGACAGACATCAATTCATCAGACTATTTCATTCAATCCTCACGTCAAACTGAGGAACTAGGTACTTTATCATTGTCATTTCACATAAGGGCCCAGAAAGGGCAGAAAATTTAAAGTCACAGAGCTGCAAAGAAGTGAAGCTGAGGTTAAAATTTGGTGTCCAACTTTGTTTCATTTTTTTGTTTTTGTTTTACACAGAGTCTCACTCTGTCGCCCTGGGTAGAATCCTGCGGCATCTTAGCTTACAGAAACTTCAGACTCTTGAGCTCAAGAGATCCTCTTGTCTTAGCCTCCCAAGTAGCTGGGACTACAGGTGCCCACCACAACACCTGGGAAATTTTTCTATTTTTAGTACAGACAGAGGTCTCACTTTTTCTCAGGCTGGTTTTGAATTCCTGAGCTCAAGCTCCCTACCCGCCTTGGTCTCCCAGAGTGAGCCACCATGCCTGGCCTTGAGGCCCAACTTCAAACATCTGTATCTCTATCCAATAGCAAGGGATAAAGCTGGGTAGGTAACACGGGCCAAGTCTTAGAAGTTCAAATGCCAGGCAAAGGAATAGTGGATTTTTGCCTTGTAAGCAGTATGGAGTCACCAGAGTTTGGGCAGAAGAAAGGGGCTGTTCTTCTGGAAGATTTGGATAGTCCTGGTATATGCAAGGTAGACAGGCTCAATCTTTCTGGGACTTACTCCTCACCCAAGGATATTTTGCATATAAGAAACTGGAATAGCTTCGTGGGGAGAGAGAAAGTACGCATACTTACAATGCTTGGATCAAAAGTCTTTTGGTGTACAGCTAGGCTACCCACCCCGCTCTTTTGTAAGTAAGTAGGGACTTTCAATCCCCTAAGATTTTATTGTTGAAAAGGACATTAGAGTATCTCTACATCAGCCATCTCACTTGACAAGGTCACACAATAGTTTGAGCCAGATTCAAAGTCAGGCCCCTTCACTCCCAATCTGTAACTGTCCCCATTCCTCCAAGTAACTGCTGTGGAGGCTCTGCAGAGACCAGGAAAACACAGGACTTTTCTGCCCAATCCATTTGCACTCACGCCCACACATCCATCCCCACAGCACTGGCAGCAGGGAAATACAGCATCTTCTCCCTAGTGCTACTGGATCAGTTCATACTCCAAGCTGCCAGTATCAGGAAGCTTCTAGAAGGGAAAGTTGTCAGGTCAAATCTATGTATCAGAGAAAAGAAAGCCAGAGCATATTCCAAAAGCTCAGGTCTTACTTTCCAAGAAGAATGTTGGCTCATGTGCGAGTGCGGGGAGAGGGGGCCAGGGCAGTAAAAGCCCAGAACTAGGTGTTAGAAAACTGGTCTTTTGTTTCCTGGTCTGCCTCTTTATTTCCTAGGTGTGCTTAGGCTAAGGTGACCAGACGTCCCGATTTTGGCTGGACAGTCCCAATTTGTAACAATTTGTCCCACTTCCTGCTGCATTTTTAAAAAGTCCCAATTTTTGGAAAGAATACATGACAAGCTAGGGAACAGTGGGAGAATGGGAAGGGAATATATGGTTTTTGGCTGCTGAAAAGGTTCATATAACTCCATTTGGGAATGAAGAGGTTAATGTAACTTCATTTGGAAATGAAAAGGCTAATGTAAACTCCCTACTTCCCTCCTGGGCAAGGTATCAGAAGGAGACTGGCTCCCTCCCTTGCTTCTAGGCAAGGACAATTAGCTCAGAAGGAGCCAAACTGTCTGGAACAAACAAGTAGCCCCCCCCCCCAGAGTAAGGTGACCAGACATCTTGCTTTTGGCAGGACAGTCCTGATTTTTAACAATTTGTCCTGCATCCTTCGGAGTTTTAAAAAAGCCCTGATTTTTGGAAAGAATGCACCACAAGCTAGGGAACACGGGAGAACAGGAAGGGAATATACGGTTTTCGGCTGCCATGTGGCTATTTCGCCAGGATATGCGTTTTATATTATTTTTGTTAATTTTATAATGTTAAACTTTAATAATATCAAATAATTGTTGAGAACTGATTATCGAGAACTGCTTATCAAAGTTTGCATTGTTCTCAGGTCCCACCCCCCCAATGGTGTCCTGCTTTACCAATGTTAAAATCTGGTCACCTTAGCTTAGGCAAATGATTACTCCTCTCCAGACCCCCAGATATAAAATGAGAGGGTTGAATTTGTTTAGCTCCTTGAACTTTGTACCGTAAAGTATATCCCTTTATTATAGTTCTTCCCAAACTCCGCTATCAAACTGCAGTTTAAGTGTGGTCCTTTTGTGAGTGCTGATACGATTTTGTTATGTTTGAAATGCTGGAAAATGTTGGAATTTTTGGGTCACTCCTAGTCCATACACTATTGGTGATTCTAGAGCTCTAACGTGGAAAGGACGATTCCTGGACTATCAATCCGCCAAGATTTTATTGTTGAAAAGGCTGTTAGAGAGCCTCTAGACCAGCCGCCTCCTGTGACAAATGAGGAGACTGAGGCTAAAGAGCAAGGGCCAGTGCAGGCTCCCAGACCCCACCTGCACCTGGGGCTGCCCTGGGAGAGCCCGGCTGTCTTCTGCTTGGTTGGGGCAGTCTCCCCTGTGCCCTGCTGTCCACCCCATTGGTTGGTTCTTCCATTTGCTTTGACTGTCAAGACCGATCCTTCAGACCCTTCCTGCCTTCTCTGATCCTCCTCACCATTTCCTCTGACCATTAAGTCCTACCGCCCACCGGAGCGTGGCTGGGCTCAGCTCTGTTTCTAGGTACCTGCCTGGGTTCCGAGGCTCTCCAGCATCCCTGGGGAACTGATGCCAGCTCTGCCTAACGACCTCTGTCCTGCTGCAGCCCACGTGCTGGCATGGGACCAAAGCACACAGGGCCTTATCTTCCCAGCTTGTGGAGGAGTTACACAGACACCACATGGACGCCAGGAAGGCCTGAGGCAGACTCTCAGAGCCCTGGGACAGCCAACACTATAATGGCAGCCAGTTCCCAGGCTCTAGCTGGGACTCAGGGAGCTCAGCCTACCCTCCTCTACCCAGTCTCCACCAGTTCCTGTCTGCTCAAGGTACTGGGAAGTTCCCAGGCTCTAGCTGGATCTCAGGGAGCTTAGCCTACCCTCCTCTACCTGGTCACCACTAGTCCCTGTCTGCTCAAGGTACTGGGAAGCTTGGCATCTAATACTTGCCTACCTGGAAACTTAGATTAAGGCCCAGGCACACAGTCACCAATTAAACAAATGCAATAGTTGATAAGGGTTATTTCCTCTACACATAGACAAATGAATTTGGGAGGCTGGGGGTATTGTGGCATTATACACCTATCCAACAAATCTGAAAAGATGTCTTGAAAGATATGGGACTTCAAAGATTAATTTCAATCATGTGTTACCCTTATCCATCCTACAAATTAAATGCTTTAATTTAACCCTGATGTGCCTATCCCCCAAAACCCCAGAAAGACTGACAGCAATTTCAGATGAATTTGCAGCAATAAAAAGTGGTGCCATCCTTGCTTTCTCCGAATGCTGCTTTCATTGAAAATTCATGTCTGCTTCTGAAATCCCAGTGGCCTTCCCTGACCAACCTCCTAGCCAGTGAAACAACCTGGTACAAAGCAGAGCTTTCTCCAACCTTATGAGGTCTCTCTGCACACCAAGAACAGCCACAGCAGAGACCTTTAGAAACTTGAGCCAAAGTCATCCTCTCAGAGTGACCCGCCTGCCATCACAAGTCACCAGATTTGTCCACTCCCATTAGCAGGCAGAGAACAGTATGTAAAATGTCATTCATCTGGCAGGTGCCCAAAGTGCAGGGAGAACTTGGTGTCTGGCCAGGGAGCACTGCCATTCTCCTGCAATGCCAAAGGCGATGTGCTGGGATTGTGAATGGGCGGGCGTGTGACCCCTCACCAGATCCCAGATCTCAGGAGGGGCAGAGCCCTGGGCATTCCCTGCTTTTCCCCTGCCTGGGCTCTGGCACAGTTTAAAAAAAGAAAACAGAGCCCTAGGTCCTTTAAGAGATCCCAAACACGAGGGGACTGTTAACAACCAGGCTGACAAGGTGACGGCAGGTACTACTGTTACTCCCAGTCTGTGGAGAAAGAAACCTGGGCAAAGGTAGGTTTAGTCAGAGGGCTGATAAGTAGTGAAATCACTGTGTGTGGCTACGAGGGATTCTGACAGGTGGGAGTCAGGGCGTGCGTGCAGTAGGAAGGCCATGGGTCTGATGGGAACTGGATGTTCCCAGAAAAGACCTCTGCTGAAGGTCTCACATGTGCCCTTCTGTGACTAGCAATGCACTCAAAGCATGCAACTCCTTTAGTCTGCTTGGGCAGAACTCCAGGATTCCAGGTCCTACAGGGAAAGGCTGGACAACTGCCACTCGGGAGGTCAGCCCACTCCTTGACAATGGCAGCCCCGGCCCTTCTGACTCCTCATCCATTGCTCTTTCTTTCACACTCTAAGGCAGGCATCCTTAAACTATGGCCCGCGGGCCACATGCAGCCTGCCTAGGACATTTATCCACCCGCTGGGTGTTTTTGCCCCCACTGCCTATCCTGCTTAGCAGCCAACTCATTGGGGGGCCCGCAGTCCGGCCCTCCAACAGTCTGAGGGACAGTGAACTGGTCCCTGTTTAAAAAGTTTGAGGACCCTGCTCTAAGGTCTCTCCCTGGCTTCCAAGGGAACAAGCTGTTAGTTCAGGTGTGAAAAAAAGATCCAGAGCAGAGGTGATAGATCTATTTGGTTAAAACAACAACAACATGAAACAAGCCAGCAAACAAACAAACAGAAATGCCCTTTTCAGCTCCCTGAGTGGTGCAACGACTTGAAGTTGAGAAACTCCACCATCAGCCACCAACATCAGGAACCTTGGCAACCCAGTGTATGTGACAGCTGAAGTTTGGTTTTTGCAAAACAAGAATATGAAGCAGTTGTGATCAGAGGGTAGGGGCTCCCTTCTGAGAGGGCCAGCCTGCAGCAGAGGACCTGTTGGAGGGGAGGCCGCAGTGCCCCAGTAGGTGTCACAGGTCACTCTCCCTCCAAACCCACTTATTCTCTCTGCCTAAAAGTTTCTACTGCCCTTTTGGATTTCCAGATTGGCCAAGGATGGGACAACCAGACCAGCTTCCTCCTCACATAGTAGCCTAATCTATGTGAGAGGCAATGCTATGTAGAGAAATCCTGGCTCTATAACTTTGGCAAATTA